TGTATATAGTGAACGGTTTATTATTGATTGCAACAGCAATATGAGAATTAACGGTACTATTTTATCCCAATACCAAATGATTAACTCTTAACTAAGTCACTTTTCTAGTCTATAAAGGTGCAAAAAAGTTTTTCTTTCAGTTTATTTTAGCTTTGGGAGTGTGTGTGTGTGTAAAAATGGGTTGGGCACCTTGGTGGCTCAGTCATTAAGCCTCTGCCTTCAGCTCAGGTCATATTTCCAGGGTCCTGGAATCGAGTCCTGCATTGGGCTCCCTGCTCAGCAGGGAGTCTGCTTCTCCCTTTGCCCCTCCCCCTGCTCGTGTGCACTCTCTCTCTCTCTCTCTCTCAAATAGATGAGTAAAATCTTTTAAAAAAATAAAAATGGGTTGCAGTAGCTTTCTGATCACAATTCCACAGACTAAGGGGAATCCTTAATGTGGTTCCCTAATTTTAAACTTTTTTACTCTCATTATAAAATATAGCTAGTTTCACAAACAGAATAAAAATTTTCAGTTTGAGTTTCAAGGTACTGTAGAAAATATAAGGCTGTTTCTAGCCCAGTCAATATTGACATGTAATTAATACTACTGTTAAGTATTACTGTTGTTAAGGACCTCAGAGAATAGCATAGGAATTGAATTTAGGTAATTACAGTATTCTCTGTTTGAAAATAATATTGCTGAGAGATACAAGAAAATTTATGTGGGTAAAAATACTTTTGATTATTGAGAGCTTTTATTAATGAATATACATTCACTGCCTATATACCCAATAATTAAAGTTGGGTATACATTCTGTGTGTGTGTGTGTGTGTGTGTGTTTTAAATAAGCTCTGCACCCAACGTGGAGCTTGAATTCATGACTCTGAGATCGAATTGCATGCTCTGGGGTGCTTGGGTGGCTCAGTGGGTTAAGTGTCTGCCTTCAGCTCAGGTCATTATCTCAGGGTCCTGAGATCTAGTTGGCTCCCTACTCAGCAGGGAGTTTGCTTCTCCCTCTCCCTCTGCCACTCCCCCTGCTTGTGCTCTCTTTTAAATAAATAAAATCTTAAAAAAAAAAAATATCACACGCTCTACCAACTGAGCCAGCCAGGTGCCCCTAAACTAAAGTTGGGTATACATTTGACTGAGCTTCCTAACAACCTGAAATAAATTGCCTAAGAGAAACTTTTTCATCTTTTCAGGTACTGGGGTCTTAAATTTCCCCCATGATCTCTCCTTGGGGAGCATTGGATGAAATGATCACTGTTCTCAAAGACATTCTTAAATATAATTGAGAATTTTACATGACCAATTCATAATACATGATCTTGTTGATCTCTTCTGTGTTGAAATATATACTCTTGGCTTCACTGAAATCACACTGGCCTCTGTTTTCTTGAGATTGACCACTCAGAGGGCACTTGAGAAGTATAGCTCCATTTACCCAGTGTTTTATTGAGTGTCTGTGGTGTGCCCAGCACTCAGCTGTGTGCATCAGAGTTGCAGATTTAATAAAATGTGGTTCCTACCTGAAGGTTTTGAATAGTAATGGACAGGAATGGTGGTGGCATTTTAGGCATCAGTGGAGGAATGGTATAAACTGTGTAACACTGGGGAGGAGAGGACAGAAAGAAGACTACAGTAATATTTATGAAGGGAATAATCCTAAATTAATAAGTTTCAGTAAGAATAGGGAAGGAGAGACTTATTCTGGAGATAATTGGGAGTTGAAATGGAAGGGACATAATGAGTGATTGTGGTAGTTGAAGGAGAAAGAGTAGTTAAGAAGCCTCCTAAGTTTCTGTCTTGGGGGACCAGATAGATGTACTTTCTTCCATTCTTAAATCATGATGATGACATGTATTGCATTCAAAAATTTTTGTTAGGTATATAACATAATGAATAATATACCCATATTATGAATGATTGTTGAATAGATTTAAATTTATATGTACTTTATTAAAAAAACCTAAATTGTACCTTTTGTTATTTTTCTTTTCAAGTTGAAATGTTCTTAGCCATGTCTCTAATAAGTAATTACTAAGGTGAAACTTATGGCTAGGACGTATTAAGAGAGAGTGTAACTTTACTGTTTTGGGAGGGGAAGGGGTTATAACTACAACAATATACAAGGTGTGATTTAAGAGTTTTGTTTCATCTTTCATAGCCATTTGTTGTGCATGATGCTAGGTACTGTTTGTAGTTTAAGAATACAAAGGTAAATAACACAGAGTTGTTACTCTTAAGGAGCTCAGACACCAGTAATGGACATAGACATGTAAACTGATGATTATGGTTGTACAGTATGTAAGTGCTGTAATAGAGATAGACACAAAAGAGGGGACCTAATCTCCGAGGGTAAGGAGGAGGAGATGGGCATAGGGAAGGCTTCCAGAGTTGATTTCCAAAGTGATTTTGGAAGTTTGTACCTTTTGACCCCTCATCCATTTTGCTCACCCCCTACCTTGTCCTCTTTTTTAATACTTTTCTATAGGGTTGAAAGTTTGAAAAGTAGTAAAAAAGAGGACAGGGTAGGGGGTGAGCAAAATGGATGAGGGGTCAAAAGGTACAAACTTCCAGTTACAAAATAAATAAGTCATGGGAATGTACTGTATATAGCATGGCAACTATAATAATACTGTATTGCATATTTAAAAGTTGCTAAGAGAGTAAATCTCAAAAGTCCTCATCACAAGAAAAAAATTTGTAACTATGGTGATGGATGTTAACTAGACTTATTATCATTTTGCAAAATATACAATTATTGAATCATTATACTGTATACCTGAAACTAATGTAATGTTATATGTCAGTTGTACTTTAGTTAAAAAAAGACAACAAATACCTAAGGTTTATCAGTTGCTAACATTTTGTCATGTTTACTTTATTTCTATCATGTATGATAGAAATATATATGATATATATCGAATATTTTTGAGAACCACTTGCAAGTAAACTGTTGACAAAATGACACAGCTCTTAAATATTTTAACATGCATGTCATAAAGGGGGACATGTCCCTCTAAAACAATTTTACAATCATGTTTAAGAAAATCAACATTAATTCAATAATATCCAGATACACAGTCCATATCCAGACTTTACCAACTGTTCCAGAAAATGTGTCGTCACTTTTTTCCCCAATCCAGAACGGTCCCTTCCTTTTTTTGTTTTGTTTTTCATGACATTAACTTACTTGAAGATACCAGTTATAAAGAGTTTCACATTCTGGATTTACCTGATAATTCCCTCATGATTAGATTAAGGGTCAGCATTTTTAGTGAATACTACATAGGTGATGTTTATTTCTCAGAGATATATGTCAAGTTGTCGAAATTTATTGATGTTAAGTTTAATCATTGGTTGAGATTGTGATTACCAGATCTACAGGATAGGTACTCTATCCTGGAGTCCCAGCTATTTTTCACTCAATAGTTTTAGTATCCATTGTTGATCCTTGCCTGAATTGTACTGAGGGTTGCAAAATGGTAATTTTCTAATTCTGTTATTCTTTCTGCATTTATGTACCTGGGAATGGTAAAGAGCATCCCCTCCCCATCATCCCATCCCCCCAGCATATTGCTATGGACTCATGGATTTTTTAAATTTAATTCAGTGTGTCATTCTTTGTGATTCTTAAGTTATTCCAGATTTGGCCAGTGGAAACACCTTAAAGCCAGTTTTTGTACCTTTTGACATGTTTTCGGGCGTTATAAAAAGGAATCCCAAACTTATCTATTAACTTCCTTATTCCAGATCTGAGATCAGCCATTTCTTCAGGGAGCCATAGTTCCTTTTAATGGAGAATGGTATTTTAACTAATTAAGGTTTTTTAATTAAGTATATATCAGGCCAACTAGTAGGTTCAAAAGATGGCAGAAAGACAGATGAGGAACAGCATGTTTGATGAATAGAAAATTTTAAGCAATTTCAAAACAAGTAAAGTTAGGACTGAATAAAAATGAAGATATTGTGGATTGCTCTTCACCGTTATTTTTTACGAGGAAATGTGTATACGAGAGTACTTCAAGCTGCATGACTAACATGAGTGAATCATCCCAGTGAATTTAAATTTAAATAATTAAAAATATTTGTTTTAAAACAAATATATCACACAAAATCATAACAATTTTTTATAATAAAGCTATGTCAAGATTATAGCAGGTGGTGCCTCTTAAGTAGGACAGCAGAGTATGCATAAACTCTCTTCTGGGATGGTTTGATGTCATTTAAAAAAAAATACATAATGACATTATCACCCACGAGGCTAGATTTTTATCAGGATCAAGAGAGTAGAAGCAAGAAGAACCTGATAGAAGAATATTGCCATTGTATAGGTAAGAAATGATAATGCGAATATCTGAGGTAATAAGGAAGGAGATGTTAGCTTATATATGTTTTCTGAGTCTTCTAAACAAAAGCTAAAATTTAACCCCTCTCCCCACCACCAAAAGGGAAGGAAGAAAAAAAGAAAATTGGGAAAACTAAAAACTACAACATTCCTCTTTGTACATATTTACATTTGTCCTCTCTTTAAAAATAAAAATTTTATATTGATGATAGGCAAATGTTAGTGATGCTTATAATTTGGTCCATTTTTTTATTTATGTATGACTTATCATTTTTTATGTTTAGAAGTTTTAAATTTCAGGCTGGTATCTTCCTGCTCCCCAACTTGCTTTCGCATTGTTGGTGCTGTATTTTGGAAGATTGTGAAATAGACCTTATAAAAATTAGCCCAAGGAAAAATCAGGAAAGTAAATATCCTCCTGAAACTATAATACATTTTCATAGCAAATATAATTTTTTTTGTATTAACTTCTGTTTAAGATTATCTGCAAATTCAAGAATTGAGAGAACAAGACAGCATAAATTGAGATTTAAGGAGGAAGTTTACCATTTCTTATAGATATGGTATTAGATGTTTTGAATTGTCTTAAGTGGCAAACTTTCTGAAGTTTCTGTATTTATGGAAATAGCATGTGAGAAGTATTTAGACAGCATCTGTTTTTGTTTTTAGACTGGGCTGGTTTAGATGAAGATGAAGATGCACATGTCTGGGAGGATAATTGGGATGATGACAATGTAGAGGATGACTTCTCCAATCAGTTACGGTAAGTTTTAAGTCAGATTTTATATAGCTTAGTATTAATTGTAAGAATGGAATATGTAACTTACATATGATAATTGACCTCTTTAAAAGATAATCTTTGAAATACATTTTTGAATTATGAAAAGGAAAACCTTTTACCTTCATCTGTGTTTCTAAACATGAGTACTTTGTGTAATTGCATAGAACTTTTATTCTTTCTAGTTTCTTTACAAAGGTAGTTAAATAGAAGCATATTTGCTGTTTTTTATTTTAGTGGGTTTAATTCTGTCAACATTAATTTTCCACCAATGTTGAATAACTCAACAGAAATTAGAACCAGAGTGCTAGGACCCAAAAGATTGGTGATTCTCAAACTGGAATGGAGATTGGGGTGATGGGAGTGTACTTTTTCATATTCATGTACAAATTTACCTAATATGATTGATTAAAGTAAAATTCATATATCATAAAATTAATCACTTTAAAGTGTACAATTCAGTGGCATTTTGTATAGTCACAATTTTGTGCAGCCATCATCTCTGTGTAATTCCAAAGCATTTCCATCACTCCAAAAGGAAGCACCATACCTATTAAGCAGTCACTCTGCAGTCTTCTTTTCCTGGCCCCTGGCACCCACTAATTTTCTTTCTGTCTATAGATTTGCCTGTTTTAGAGAAGTCATAAAAATGGAATCATACAATAAGTGATCTTGTGTGTCTAGTTTCTTACAGTTGGCATAATATTCTCACTTTTCATCCATGCCACAGCATGTACCATACTTCATTCCTTTTAACGGCTGAATAATATTCCATTGTGTGATATGCCACAGTTTGTTTATCCATTCATCAGTTGATGGTCATTTGGGTTGTTTCCAGCTTTTGACTACTGTGAACTGTGTTACTATGAGCATTCATGTACAAGTTTTTGTTTGAATACCTATTTCCAGCTTTGGGGATATACTCCTAGGAGTGGAATTTCTGGGTCATGTCATAATTCTGTTAACTTTCTGCAGAACTGCCAAACTGTTTTCCACAGCAGCTGCACAATTTTACATTACTACCAATAGTGTATGAAGGTTCTAAATTGTCCACATTCTCATCAAAACTTGGACTGGTATCTCATTGTGGTTTTTATTTGCATTTCCCTAATGACTAGTGGAGAGCCTTTTTTCACATATTTGTTGACAATTTGTATATCTTCTTTCAAGAAATAATCTAGTCAAGTCCTTTACCCATTTTTAAGTTGGGTTGATTATTTTTTTGTTATTGAGTTGTCAGAGTTCTTTATATATTCTGAGTACTAAGCTCTTATCAGACCTATTATTTACAGATAGTTTTTCCCATTCTGTTCACTTCCCTTTTCACTTTCCTCATAGTGTTCTTTGCACATAACTTTTTAATTCAGATGAAGTCCAGTTTATCTACTTTTTAAGAATTTATTGCCAAATTCAAGGAAAATTTATCCCTGTGTTTTCTTCTCACAGTTTTAGAACTTTAGTTCTTACATTTAGGTCTAAGATCCATTTCAAATTAATATTTGTACATTGTTTGAAATGAGTCCAACTTCATTCTTTTGCAAATGGGTATCCAGTTATACCAGTGCCATTTGTTATAGAGATAATTCTTTCCTCCCTAATTTTATTTTGTTTCAACCCATATGTATCTGTCTTGGCCACAGAGTTATCTAAGTAAATTGTACTTTGCTCAAATCAAGATCTAGCAGTTCTACTGCAGTCTTCTAGTTTTCTAGTCTAGTATATTTGTTCAAAAAGAAAGATGATTTATAATAAATTTAATGATAATGCAGTACCTTTTGTTCTACACTGCGTTTTTCACGGGCTCAAAGGCCCTACATTCTAAAGACATTTTAGTATTTTTCTGGGGACTAATAACAATTTTATCTATCACCTTTCTCCCCTTTTTGGAAATAGCACAATTTACCTTTCACTGTTATTCTGGTACTTTTACAATTCTCCATGATTTCTCAAAATGGTTGACTCTGTTTTTTGACTATATCTTTTCATTTTTTCAGTGCCCTGAGATGTAATTATTCAGAGTCTAGAGGTTTTAAACTACTTTAATGCAGTTTAGAGTTCTCTCACCTGTCTTACTTTTCAATTTTGTGTTAATGATGTTTTTCCTGTTGCCGTTTTATGAACAAGATAGGAACAATAGCTGTTGAACAATAATTCCGCTTTTTCTCTAAATCTGTTAATACTACATCTGTTCCAAGCATTGGATCTGTTCTCATTCTTCTTTATTCATGTATGGCTCTCAGAGCCTTTTTGTTCTTTCTATAGCTCTTAGTCCATTCTGGGATTAAATTTTGTGTACAAATTCTTGGCACTTTTCTTTTTGTATTAATTTTTGGTTTATATTCTTTTAAAACTGAGCAATGTCAGAGAACACCCTGCCTTTTCTCTCTCTCTCTCTCTCTCTCTCTTTTTTTTTAGTAGGCATGCCCCCCTTTCTTCCCTCACTAGAATCATATTTTGCTGTTAGAATATTTTCAGGCCTTCGAACTCTGTTGATCCCCATTCTGAGTTCTTAATCATCTATCAGTTTTTTCTTTCCTGTTATCTTGAAATTTTTCAAGTTGAAGCTAAATGAGTTATCTTCCTTTGCTATTCACAAAAAAGTCAAATTTCTTCAAAATGGTTTTCTTTTTTGTCTTTCAAAGTCAGAAAATAGCACTTTTCTCTTAAAAAATTAAACTAAGACATTATTAAATACTGGGTCATCTGGGTGGCTCAGTCTGTTAAGCATTAGACTTTGGCTGGGGTCATGATCACAGGGTCCTGGGATTGAGCCCCACATTCGGGCTCTCCACTCAGCGGGTAGCCTGCTTCTCCCTCTCTCCCTGTTCATGCGTGCGTGCGCTCACTCGCTCATAATAAATAAAATCTTTTTTCTTTAAAGACATTATTAAATACAGTGATCTTATCAGGAGACTTTTAGTAGTAAATATATTGATAATTGGATTTCTTGCCACTGCTGCATCTTGCCTTTCTGCTGGTTTGGAAGTAGAGCATTATTCATATATTATTTGTGGCTTGTTGTTTATACAATACACCTACACAGTGTTCTTATGTTTTCTTGTGTTCTGCCTTTAGGTTTGGGGATTTCCATAAGAGTATAAATTTTGATACCTTTATTAGTGAATAAGATTTTTCTTCTTATTTCCCTGTTTGAGTCATGAGTTTCTTTCTACATGTGGGTTGATATATCACCAGTGCTATAAACTAGAACTTACTGTATTGGTGGAAATGTTCTATAAACTGCCCTATCCAGTACAGAAGCCACTAGCCACATACGGCTCTTGAGCACATGAAATGTAGCTAGTGAAGCTGATGAACTGAATTTTTCATTTTATTTAATTTTAATAAATAGCCATAAGTGACTCCTGTATTGGACATTGCAGCCTCAGATAATACTTTTATCTTTGCTTTAAAAAAGTTGTCATGATTAACAAGTCTCCTGCAAAGATGTTCTTCCTAGTCTTTGTAAAACATATAGAGGTCCTCAATGTGATACTATAAACCATGGTAAAGCATATGTTTTACTGTGTTCTGATACTGTATATGGGTCCAAATTCCATCTAACTTTGGAGAGGCAGTACATTTTCTAGAGTCACTCTGATTCCCCGGGTTCCAACTCTGGATCTCCCTTTTATTAGCTACATGTCTTAGCAAGGACTTAGCCTTCCACTTTCCATGTTTTTCTCTTAAACTGTAATTACCTTTAACAAGTAAAATTAGAAAGAAAAAGGCCACCTGTATCTCCAAGTAACTAAAAGTCAAAGAGAAACAAATGTATCAGAAGCAGCAAAAACAATGACTTTTACTTCTTGGAGTTACTTGGAGACACATTCAGTAGAAATGGGTAGGATTAATTTTTCTGACCTTGCATCACATGTTACATAAAAAAATCCAAGAAGCCAATATTGTTCTTGATTTACCATGTCAAATACAGCCACTGTCCTATAGCAGAATAGTTTCTTGGATAATAAGAGTTCTCAAACCTACCAGTGGCTATTTGTCTTATCCTTGTTTTGTTGAAAAAGGAAAGCTGCTGTTTTTGTTTCAAATCGTGTACATTCACTATGTGGGTCCTGTGATACTGTTCCAATTGTGCTGAATTTCTTTCTCATCTCTTTCTTAGGTTTTTTTCATCCCACAGGCTGATGATGATACTAGTGTGTTTGTATTGTTTTGTGTTTTGTACTTAGTGGCCTCGATTTATTTCCTTTTAATTTTTTTGTATGTCCTAAATTCTAGCAAAAAAACTTCATCTTCTCCAAAAATAGAGAAGCATATCATAATCTCCTTTGTGTTTGTTAACAGTTTATAAATGTAATTGGTCACCACCTCCTGTCAGGAAGGCAGATGCAAACCTGGACAGATCTGGTGTACTTGTTAACTAAATTGTAGGCTGATTTTCGGGGATTTTTGTTGTTGTTGTAAAATAAGAGAAAATGAATAATCTACATTGATTCTGTTAAACGCAGCAGAAAGCTATTATTTAAGAAACTTTTAAAATTATTTCCTTTTTAAGTAGAAAACATGAACAGATAAAATCTTTAATCTCCTGGAAAGGGGTCGGGGGTGTGTCTAAAGGAAGCATTTTGGTTAAATTTACCAAGGGAAGGAGTAGTGTCAGAAACTTGTGCTGATCTTTTGACTCCTAAATGAGTGATTTACCACCAGCCCATACTATCCTCTACACCTGAGCAGAAGATAAAAATGTTTTATATGAATAATCTCTGGCTTTAATATTATTTAATATTATTCATGGACTTTAGGTCAGTATTTGTATTATAAATAACTTTAGTGACATTTGGGTAAATGAATAATAAATATTATACATCATTCCTACATTCCTACATGTGTTTTTTTGTGTTGTGTTTACATTGGATAGTGTGATAGTGTCCAAGCTAAGTTATACTTGAGAACAAATGTCATTTTATCTTATTGGATGTAATGGTGTAGGGCACATTAATTATACTTTACATTTATACAATGTTTTATCATATTTTGGCCCTGAAATAATTTTGTTGTGAACTTCTATAAAATTGAATTGTAGCAGAGAAGTTATTGATGATACTTGGAGTGGTAGTTCAGCTGAAATTGATGATAGGGCTAAACTTTTTTGTGCATCGGTTTTATACAAAGCATATCAAAAATTGCAATTGATATTCTTAAAGTATGACTGAAACTTCAGCTTGAATAAATTACTTAAAATTATAAAATGTCTTTTTAAAGGGTATATATTTATAAGTTTTTGGAGGTTTTTATACACATTTAAAATTTTTTTTTTTTTAAGGTTTTATTTATTCATTTGAGACACAAAGATAGAGAGCATAAGCAGGGAGAGAGGCAGAGGGAGAGGGAGAAGCAGGCTCCCAGCCGAGCCAGGAGCCCGATGCGGGGCTCGATCCCAGGACCCTGGGATCATGACCTGAGCCGAAGGCAGACGCCCAACCATCTGAGCCACCCAGACGCCCCCACATTTAAAATTTTTAAAGTAAAATCTTGTTTAGTATTTTATAACTTATATTTATTTTGTCTACATATAGTTAATGGGGAGTAGTTCCCATGTACTTTTAAATTTGATTAATAATTTTTGTCTTGGTCAGAGCAGTAGATCTATGTCAATATGGAAAGCAGTCTGTTTATTCTTTATGTGTAAATAGCAATAATACCTATTATGATTATAAAATTCCTAAAAATTTGATAACAAATGTCTTGTTTTCTTAGCCATATGGTTGATAATTCTTAAAATTTGTTTAAATATTTATTATGAACAGGACATTTATTTGTATGGTATTTCAAAGATACTTCGAAGATAGTGGTTAATCTCTCACATTTCTTCCTTAAATAGATTTATCAGAAAAGTAAGGAATATAAAATATAAGTTTACTAATGGGAAAGCAGAATTTTATTAGCATTATGTTGATTCACATTTGGATTCCTTCTTACCCAGATTTCTTTTAAGGGTATAAAGTAAAAGCTACTTGGTAGTATTTTATATTGGTGCCTAGGCTTGGCTCATTGTTTTATTAATTGTATTATATCTAGAAACATTGTTTCTTTATCATGAAGAATGTCCAGTGATGTTGTCCTTTTGTGTTTTATTATAGAGCTGAACTAGAGAAACATGGTTATAAGATGGAGACCTCATAGCATCCAGAAGAAGTGTTGAAGCAACCTAAACTTGAACTGTTTACTAAATTCTAGGACAGAGAACCCAGGATGGGACACTTAAAAAAAAAATGTTTATTTCATTACCTGCTTGGATTTATTTTTGTTTTTGTAACACAAAAAATAAATGTTTTGATCTAATCTTCGTTTGGTTCAGAAGTCTCGATCTTTTGCTTCTCCCGTCATTAATTTTCTCAGACTGCTTATGATTTTCTAGGACTTTATTATATAGAGACAGTAAATTTATCTGATCCCCAATTCAGTACTTTTTTTTAACCACATCAATTTAATGTTGATCTTATTTATAAGGTTACTTCTTTTAAGTTGCATTTAACCTTAATCTCATCTGTATTTTGAAAACTTAGGGAACATTTGCTGACATCTCTAAGGTGACCCTTTAAAACCTGTGTTTTAAAATATTAATCATTTTTAATTGCTATGATTAGCTTCTGAGCCATTAATAATAGTATTAATAGTTGATAGAGTAGTATTAGTACTTAAAATCAAGTGGTTTGATCACAGTCTAAGAACAGTGTCCTCTGTCAAAATTGGTGAAGTCGTCTCAAGATACTTTGTTAACATAGGCATATTCTCAGGTACTACATAACAGTCATTTGATATAATTAAGATTCTGCAAAGTGATTATCATTGCCACATCTACTTTTGTGAGTGGGAGATATAATTTAGTTGGTAAAGGATTCTTCCTCATTAAGACTTAGAATGAAGCTAATGTATAGTTTTTATTAGGAATATTTTCAAACTTGAATGTGTTACTTAAAGGAGAATTAGCAGAACTGTTGAATAATTTAGAGTGTAAAATTTATGTGACATGATGTATTAACACCAAAATAAAATTGGGTGCCTGAAAGTTAAGCCTCAAAATGATTTTGAACAGAAGTTTTTCTCCTCCTAAAACGAGCATAAATCTGCCTTGCCTACCTGGAGAACTGCTAGATGATCAGATAGACTAAGGAATAAGAAAGAACTTTGGAAAGTATAAAAGCATCTTCTGTATTTATAATCCTGTAGTGCAGCACAGGCAAACATGCTACTGTTGTGACATGTGAAGAAATATTTTGATGTATATGTTCTTGGTACTCTGGTCATTGATTATCTTTAGACACCATATGACAGTGTCAGATCATTACCCAGAAGGATGGCCACCTCATATGACTTTAAATTGATGCAAGGTACAATTTTGAAACCTTATAGGAATTGGGCAGAGGCTTTAATGGGTCTTTATTAGTTATCTAGCGTTTTGTTCTTAATGAAATTTCGAAATTTAGTTTGTTCTTTTCTGTTAAGGATTGAGTACCTGAAAATTGGTATTTGGTATTGGGATGATGAAGCCATCAGTGGTAGAAAGTGAGACAAGTCAAGCAGCTGAAGAAAATTATTGTTGTGGGACTTTACAAAAGTTAATAGATTCTTTAACTTTTGATCTTCACAACAGCCCTGCCAAAGCAGGCAGGAAGGGCCTATCTGTTGTAAACATTTCATCAAATAGAAAACCACCTCATAGAAAATAAGGAAGTGAAAGGGGCTATGGTTGCATAGCTAATAGGTGTCAGATAAAGACAAGAATCCTGGGTTGTTTTTTTTTCCTTTGTCATTTTCCATAATCACTTAAGTCCATTTGAAATCGTTTTGAATTTAAATTGTAGGTGTAATAATGGTCAGTATTTTTCGTCAGGCCTTGGATTAGAATTGTTGCCACTGGATGCCATGTCTCTTCTTCCTATTTTCACTAGAAATGTTTAATTTAGAGAACTATGATAATGAGCCAACACTGTTTTGAAAGATTGTATGGTGTATTAATAATGCCTTTTTATGGCATATCATGATTATCCTGTACTTTTTAAAGATAGCCATATCCTTTCTGTCCCACAGTTACCAAGTTGAGAGAGGGAACATCTTCCATTCTTTTGGCAGAGAGCTAACAATTTACACTACTCTCCATCTACCACACAGATGATGCTGGGGAATTAGACTTGAGTTTTCTAGCTGCCTTAATGGCTCTGGTTGTATTCCAACTCTAAATCTTGGCATAGATCTAGATTCTATCCTGTACCCACTTCTTGCACTATCCATACTACATTCTCTTTAGTAATTTCGTCCAGTCTCAGCTGCTTAAAAAAAAAAATCTCCATATGTATGATTTTATTTTCTATTTTCAGTCTTTGCCTCTCCTTGAAGTTGTAAACTTTCATATCCACTAACAACTTGATCACCTTTTCAGTATCTATAATGGGTATCTTAAAGTTAACTGGGTGAAAACAGAAGATTTGATTATTCTCAAACCTGTATCTTTCATCCAGTCTTTCGCATCTCAGTAAATACCCCACCTTCTTCCCAATTGCTGAAGCCAACACTTTAAGAACTGTTCTTGAAATCTTCTTAGTATTTAATCTAGTGGCAAGCCATGTCAACACCTGCAAAGCATTATCCCATGTAGTTGATAACCCTGCTTGCCTACCGAGCATCTATTTCCCCCTTACTCTTTTCTAACAAATCTTTTTTTTTCCCTCAGGTATCTATCTGTTCACATAAGCCATGTGACTCAAGGCCAGTCAACCCCATACCCAGTTCAGGGTGGGCTCTGCTTAATCTTTAGTCAGTCATAACTCCATCTCTCATACAAATGAATGGATGATGGATGGGCAGGCTTAAATAAGTATGGGCCAATAAACAGTCGGCGGGGGGCATCTGGTAAAGAGGAATCCTGGCTTATGAAATAGCCACATAAAGCAAGCCTCTCTATAGGTGTGAATAAGGAGCATGTAGTCTTAATTGCTAGTGGCAGTTATCTAACAACTATTCCAGTTTGAGGCCTAAGATAATTAGTCTGGAAGAATGTGATTCTTTGATAATATCATTGAGGCTGTTGTGGCACTAAACTTCCTGTAAAATAAGCATACAAATATCTTTATTTAAGACATCTTAGGTTGGGTATTTGGTTACTGGTATCCAGAAACAACTGATAAAATTCAGAATCTGTCTACTCCCACTTTCTAGTATCTTAATCTAAACCACCACCATCATTCACTAGGATTTTCTGTAATGATCGCCTAACTAGTCTCCCTACTTTTACTTTTTCTGCCCTACAGTCTTTTCTGTAAAAAATGGATCTTGTTGAAATTTAGACCATGTCATCTTTAAATGCCATCAAGGACTTCTTAAAGCAGCATAAAACTAAACTCGTAAAGCCCATTATAATCGGCCTCTGCTTATCTCAGTTTACATCACTTGATTTTCAGTAATGTCTTATTGTGGTCACTTCTGAAAAGTAAATGAAAGATAAATCACTAAGCAGAAAGTCATTATACTCAATTGCTTGAATGCACCAGAGGCCTTTCCAACAGTTGGTACCTGGAAGGCTTGCCCACCTCATCCTCACAAGTCAAGCCCTTAGAAGGTCCGGCAGAGTCAGTATAGACCAGGAAATAGAGGAGATACTTTTTTTTTTTTTTTTTTTAACAGAGATGACTTTTACCTTGCTTCTTGGTTATAAGGCACAAATCCTTATAATAGGCCGTGTCATCTCATTGGTTGTACCTAGATAATTCAAACCTTGTATCTTTCCAGAAGATCACCAATGACTGTGAGATATATATATATATATATATATATATATATATATATTTGTTGTTGTTGTTGTTATTGCCTGCAGTGAATGTCTTGGAGAAAAAATTTCCGTAACTTTTTACTTTGCCCAAAATATGACATCATTGTTCATTAATTATTCAATACATTAATTACATGAATCCTATGTTTTCAAGAGTAATCCTTAAGGTAAAATGATGTTCTCTTATCTATATTAGTGTTGATAAATGATTTAATAAGGATGTTTGAACTTTGCAGAGCTCATAATCAAAGACTCATTGCATTGTGTGTAGAAACCTGTGGTTCAAGTTGATAGGCTATATCCTAGTGATTTTGATGATGATATTTCCAAGTAGAGGAATGGACAGATTTTATGAAAAGAGCAATTGCTTTTCTTTGCTAGGGCTAAGAAGGTCACTATCATTAATCACAAAGATGACAATTTGTGTTTAGGTCATTTAATATTTTTCAGTAATTTCCCCTCTGGTGATTAAGAACAGGGTGTATATATCTAAATATATACACAGATAGGTAGATACAGATAAATAGATAGATATAGATAGGCTAAATTACTTTGGCTTTGGAGACATGTATCTTTCCTCTGAAGCAGGACTATAGGAAAAACATTTCATGGGATAAAGAAGTCTTGCTAAAATGTGTAAAAATTATAAGCAAAGTTTTAGATACTATTGATTTATATATTGGAGAAGTTTCTTCATATTTTACAATTTAGCTCATTAAATTAGTAAAACATTTTGGAAGCTAAGTTTTCACTGATACAATAGTCTCAGTCTGTATATTACTAGTTGACATGGCATAGGGGATTAATTGCTGTTAGATTTTATTTTGTTTTTCAAATTAAAATTGCTGATAGACTAACAATGGTCTCTCTTTTTAATGCCATTGAAAGAGAGCATATATACTTTTCCTTTCCCTTGGAAAGCTTTTTCCTTAATTTTTCTTGAATGAATGAAATTGGTAATCTCATTTTAGAACTGTCACAGGTACAGAAAAGTCTAGGATATTCAGCCAGGAATTTGATGAGTGATGTCTAATAGTATTCCTAGGAGCTTGTGGATGAAGGTGTGAGGATAGGGGTCCACACATCCCCCTTTGTTTCATTTGGACCTTTTCGACCTTTACTTGTGTTAGACATTGGGATTCAATGTAGGATTTCATTTGAAAAATCGATTTCACTGCCTTTCTTTAAAGTTTGATAACAGTGATCTAGATTTTCTATGACATTGGCAATTTCTCCTAAGTACTGCTAAGTAAGTTAGGTTTTGCTTTCTGTCCAGATTCAGGGTAAAACCACTACATACTGTGAAAATTATAAACATTTTTTTTTTCTAAATTTGCTAAGTCTTAGGCATCTTTATATTTGTCACCATGATGTTAGACTTACAGAATTGGACAGATTCTTAAGGAGCATCTACCTCTACCACTTCATTTTGCAGTTGAAGAAATAAACCCAAATCAATTATGACCTGTCCCCAAGGTCACATAGGGCAGAAGCAAGAAAAGCTTCTACTCCAGTACTCTT